AGGGGGTGAATGACAAGATTGAGCTTGTTTTATGTAGAGACAGTAAGCACTGAAACATTAAGATCTTCAGGATCCCACCTATTTCTGCCTTTCTGATGCCAGTAGTTTTGCTAAAGCTATATAAAGTTAAATTTTATACTTGGTAACTTAAAATTATTTTAAAAGGAACAAATACATGTGGCATTAAGAGATCTTACTTTTCCTGCTGCATATACAAATCTGCTATCAGTACTGCTGAGACGTACGTGCAAATACAGTGGTAAGGTAGCAAGCCTTTCACTCTTTTGGCAAGAAGTCAACAAAAGACAGAAAGTTGGCATAGTTTTGAAATATATGTCAGTGTTACCATTTGAGATAAAATCCAATGAGATGCATTTAATTTCTAAATCCAAGGGGTCTCTGAATTATGTTACAAAATTTATAGGAAAACACAGCAGATATTTGGAGGTAATTAATTATTATATGTATATGTGTTTGGTTATCCTCAGTCACAGGGAAATAACACCTATCCTTTAGATTTGACTTGCTGCTGTGGTTCCCTGCAACAGTCTCTCCCTGCATCATTCCAAGTAACAGCAGAGCAAAACAACGTGGATGCCCTCATTCTGTGCGTGCACACGCTGTCTATGTACCCCCTATGGCAGCGGGCAGGGGAGGAACATCAGTGGCAAAAGAAAAGAATACAGTGACTGTCACAGTGCTACATCATCATCTACAGCGACCAGCACAGCGCCTGCAAGTTCTTCACAAACACTGTCTGTTACCAGATTGTTATACTGGGGTTGGGAATAGAATTTGCCCCTCTCTTTTTACTGTTGGGGGCGAGGGAGAGGCTGGAGGGAGAGTTCTGCAATTTGGAGAAAGATTCCACATTCCATTAGGTTAAAGCTGCTCAAATTTATTGTTCACGATGCCCATGTCTAGCCTTTACAGTCATGGGAATACGCCATCCCATTCCTCAAAGATCAGGCCACTTGTCCATCTAATTCTGTACCTTGCTGTTGGCACTGCGTTCTCCTGATACTTCAGAGCAAAAATAAAAAAACCTCATAATTTGCCTCGCAAGCTGTGTGGGGCTCTATATGAAGACGGGGACCATTCTTGGTTCCCCGGTGAATAAAGCGCAAATTAGCATTCTCCATTTCTTTACATATTTACTAGTAAATATATTATTGGAATCCAACAATTCAGTTGTTCTTAAACTTAGAAAAAGTAAGTATTGTTGGCTTTCCCCCCTCATCCTATCTCAGTCTATTGCTCCAAGAAAGCCAGGTTTTGGATGCAATCTAAAAACTTGACTGTATTTCTTGCCTGCTACTCACTGTCCGTGGGAGAAAGCAGGATACTTTCCTCATTATCTTAGTACCACTTTGCCCTCTTCCCTACAGTTTACCACAGCAAACAGATACGTCCTTAGCCTAAAATAGATTTTATTTTCTAGTAGAACTATAGGCAGCAATAAATACCCATATGGCCAGGTATTTTTATATTAAGTTACAGTTAGAAATATACATATAATCTTTTCAGCTCAGCAATATGAAATTGCAGAAATCTTTCAGTTGTTTTATTTTCTCCCCACTGTAACATCAAATTGGCTGGTGATACGATACTTGCAGTGTAAGTCATTACAGGTCTGACGTTACAGTTGTTGCACATTGCTGAATCTGTCAAATGAAAAGGGAGCACAAAGGGAATTTCCAAATGCAGCTGCTATTTCCCATTTGTTAAATCCTTTTATTACACCATATAAGTACACAGCTGGGAAATACTATAGAGTGGGAGTTAAAACAAAATATTTTGGCTTCCAGACATTCAGAATACACAAAGGACTCAGTGGAAAGCAATGCCTGATATCAAAAGGGAGTGAAAGTTTGAAAACATTTCTAGCCAGTGTGTTTTTTTTATGATAATACACAATGTAGTTTAAAGGTATCTTATACTACAGAAAGTGCTGCATACCATAAATGTGGAGAAAAAACTCAATCTTTTTTTTCAGTCAAATTGCCCTACTCCAGTATCTGTTTTTCACTTAAGATCTGTATGGCCTTCATCGCATGTTACGATGCACACTGTGTGCTCTCATAAATTCCAGTGAATTCCTCAGTAGTTTTAAGGGCACAAAGGATGCAGGATTGTGCCCTTAATTAGATACCACATAAAGGAGAAATTTTTTTCTTTCCCATATGTCGACACAGCATTCTTTGAATTTACTATCTTATAACCAGACAACACGCATTATTGATGCATTTTAATGACAGCACTACTGTCTTTACTTTCAGTGTAAATGGTATGAGCAGGTGCTTCTTCAAATCTGCTTTGAAAGGATCCGTCTGGGAAAGGTCAGAAAGCAATTGCCTTCTGGGAATTTGGTTTTATTGAGTAGAAAAGCGGTCACTACCACAGCACCTATCTCAAAATTGCCCAGCCCATCTTCTGGAATTTGTCTTTCTGGAAAGAAACTCATATCCTCCCTTAAAGGAGTAGAAAATTGCCCTCATCAGGAAAATTGCAGGCACCTCGGAATTCTTTCTTAGCAATATTGGACTAACATGTTTCAGAAAAACTTCTTACAATTAATTGAGGCTTAAAGGTTTGCTCTTGAAGGATACAAATAAGGGAGAAAAAAAAAAAAGAAAATCAAAAAATCAAACAAATTACCCTAAATGCCAGTCTCTGAAGGAGAAAAAAAAAAAAATTTCACCACTTCACTGTTGTGATCTAACTAGTCATCTAACTCACCTACACTGTAAATACACTGGGACCTTGCTCTGTACATTTTAGATCTCTCAAGTGCAACCAAACATCATGCCTTCAAATTTCAGGTTTCACCTCTAGCCAAGCCTTGTAAATTATACCCAGCTTTGAGTTGGGCAATAAATTCTAGTTTAGCTGAGAGCTACCTAAGTAAGGATGACATACATCCACCACCAGATTTAACAGAAGGGAATTGTGGAAACTCCTAGTGCTTTTCAGGACATTCATCTACACATATGATGGAATATTTACTAAAAAAAAGGAGAGAGGAAAACCAGAGTGCTAAGTCACTCAAGCAGAGTTCATGCACCTGTTCTGAAACACGATAAGCTGGGTATTGGTTCATGCCATGTCCAAGTGTTGTCATGATAGTGCAACGTTAAGAGAGAAAACAGAGCTTGCACTCTGTCACTGTAAATGTAAACCCACTTCAGAGCAATACAAATGAGTACAATTGATCATACTGCATGAGGTTCTATCATTTTGGCTCAAGCATTACTTCAGGTCCAAGGAACAGCCTGAAACAAAACCAAATTCTCTGAAGGACTCCTAAAGGCTAGAAGCTCCTTTCTCTCTGGGACACAGAGTCCTTTTATCAATGCTATTAGTGTCCCAAAACCAAAATTCCCAGAGCGTACATGCCTCTGAATGAATAGGAAAATAGCTGATCAATTCACAGATTTATTTTTTCCATCACCAGATTTGATCAATCTTTTCCAGTATGCAACCAGCTTGTCCTTCTGATAACATTGAAGTTAAAATTATTCTGATATCACCTGACTTGGGCAAAAGAGTGACTCTCCGTTCAAAATGAGGTTCGATCTGAAAATTGTGCATAGAAGCCATATATACAGCTTACAACCTACCTTGCCAAATCAATAACCTATAATAATTTTTCTTTTAAGAAATTTTTAGAGTTTAAATTTTGCTTTCTTCATGACAGTTGCCCAAATACGTAGGAATATTTTAGGCCTGACAATGTTCTGCACTGGGTTAAATTGTGCATTACAGATTAAGTAGCATTTTTGTGGTTCGGTCTGATCTTTTGAATCAATTTGATGTTAGAAAGGAAAAAAAAAACATTATATTAATGAAATTATTGCAGTGCTATTATTTAATTAATTCCCGGCATCACAGTATGCATGAAGAATTCTCATATCTACATTGATTAATGCATTAGAATTAATATTTCTAGTCAAATTTGAAATAAGTTCATTGTTGTTAGTGTCATCAGAAAAATTCTACAATTTCTTTTTAACCTTTTCAAAAGCTACTGATTTGTAGTGAAAAAAAAAATGCTAAAAAATATCCACTCATAGACATTTAATAAAAATACAGAAGAAATTTTATGAAAAGGCAGGGTATTCTTTTTAAACTGTGTGAATTTAATGTTTGTGAAAGTCACTTTATGGAGAGTCTGGAATTATGATGTTCTAAATTTACAGAACACCTGGCTGCTCCACGTATCTTAATTCTGCTCCTGAGGAACACATGCAAGGAAAATAAATTGACTGAGATGCTATGCCCATTCAGTCTTCATTCAGTCTGCTCATTTATTGCAGAGTTTTGGTGACGCAGAGACAGAACTACAACTGCAAAATAATTTTATCTAGGCTACTGAAGAGAATACAGATCATTCTGATCACTGATAACATCACCTATATACAAACTGGTGATCTAGAGCACAAGAGCATGATATAGTTACTCATAAACACCTTTCCCCTCCACAAGTTGTAATTTCCTATAAATACAGCAGGATGTTTATGTCTCCTAAAATGCCAGCTTCTTTGTTGTAGTATAAAGCTTTAATATTCTAGATTTGATGGGTTCTATTTCTGAGAGACAAGTAAAGAAATACATTAAAGTTTCTTTCTTCAGCACAACACTTTGCAGATGACAAACAGTTGTGAGCTACATCCTCCTGTCAGAAATTAATGCTTGAATATATGAGCCAGAGAGGTTATGACATAAATCAAGGTATGAAGGAAAACATGATAAATAGATGTATTTCTTTTCTGAAGGTGAACTCATCAAATGACCTCATTCATATAGACCTGTATACTTAAGAAGATTATACAACTGTAATTTACAATTACACCATATTGATGTTGATCTACACCAACACTTTAACATTTAACAAGCTTTACACCCATGAAGGATTGTACTGAACATGTCTTTCAAAATGGAAGTGAACTGTCTTTTACAATACTAATGTATAAAGCCACTGTGAGGACTGTGAAACTCACCATTCTGTGTTGGGCTGAGATGACTCCATCCCACTCAGGATCTTGGATGGTCGTGACCAGAGTTGGTAGCTCCTCAGAGTGAGGTTTGTTGTGCATTACATTATGTAGAGGCAGATGAGAGGTCGCATGCTGATCACTGTTACCCTCTTCCTTGTCTCGTGATACTAAGTCCTGGGTCATTGTTTCCTCTCCATCAGCTGCACATGCAAATGGAGAGGTAGCCTGCTTGGAAGACATTCTTCTGTAAAACAAGAAAAGCAGACAAAAAGAAAACATTTGTGTTAAATGAAAAAAACAAAACAAAACAAAACAAAACAAAAAAAAAAAAAAACAAAAAACCAAGCTCCAAATAGTCCTATAAACACACCACACTTGCCTACAACAGTTAAAAATTAATCACATGCAGTCGACAAAACTACTTTTAAAAAGCACAGGTTTGGGGGATCTGGATTCAAAACAGAGATAAAGTATTCATTGATGCCAAGTCAAGGTCAGGGTTAAATTATACGATGTCAATCTAGAGATGTCAAACAATACAATTTTCTCCAGCCATAGTGATTTTATTGGTATTTTCATGTTGATTTTGCATAAGAGTTCAAGTCTTTAAACTCTTACTCCCGTGAGCAATCTGAAGGTTATAAGCAAACATTCAAATGAGTCCATCGTGCTTTCCTAACCTCATTCCTTGCAAGCAGATGATGTTTTCTACACAGATGAGAATATTTCAATCCATTTCAAATTCTGCTAAATAAGTTCTTTTGGTGTTTGTTTAAAGCTGTATCTGCTCTTAATCTGTTTATAATTTTACCCAGTTTTACCTTTTGGAAATGTTCATGTCGAAAGTGTTCTAAAGCTGAACACTTTATTGAATGGATGGATAATATCTGAGTCATCTTTTACAGTTTGAACTAAAAATATAAAATAATCATGTTTCATTTCATATTAGGCATCGAGTACAGGATATAGCTCAACAAATTACTTTAAATGACTTAAAAGTGTAATGAATAAATGCATTGATTTATGTTAAATGTATTTTCCTAATAATGGCCTCTTACTACCATCTCATATGCAAACACAGCTTTCACCACAGTTTCTGCACTTAGATGAAAATATAACTGACTTCAACTGAAAATCTGAAAACACTTTGTTTAAAATTTCTAATAAGATTAACTGCAACTGTTAAAACAATCATTAATAAACCTGAAAGAAGACAGCTAAAATATATTAGCTATTTTCCCAGGTTTTAGTAACTTTAGAATATCCTTGACACTAAAATTGCTGAGAAACTAAGGAATAAGATCTTCACCTTAATTGATTTTTAACAATAATTGATTTCACACAATTTCTTTAAAAATGCACAAATCAGTTAACATAGGAAACCACATGAGCATTTTTCAAATTAGCAAATCATTAACTTGCTAGTACTGTTTCTACAGACAAATAAATACTGATTAAAGGGTCTGGAAATCTGAGACTAACAGTTAAATTTACAAATCTGTCACATGCTTTCATGAATATTACAGTGAAGGAAATAGCAAGTGCAAAGAAAAATAATTAAGTTAATTCCAATTTAAACAGTAGTTTTTATGTAGCAGCCTGTGTTTCACATAGGATTTAACAGCTAATGCTAAATTTCTCACAATTAATGAGGGAGTTCAGATTTAGTATCCTACAGTGAAAAAAAAAAATTAATATAGGATCAACTAATCTAATTATGTACAGTTCTATATGAAAGTACTACAAGCTTTGAAGTGCTTTGAAACATATTAAAACACTGCTACCTATTTAGAATAACTATTCTGTAAATAGAGATAATCCTGCCTCTTAAACTCGATACTGGTGGGGAAAAAAAGGTTTGCATTTTCTTTAGGGAAGCCTAAGTGTAAGTGGGAGTCTAATATTAATCTTGCCAATAAGTAGAACTGAGGAATTTAAACCACGTATTACATTCTTACTACACTAAAGAATTTGTGTTGATGCTACAGAGAACATGCCAAGAGTTCAGCAACCAGCATTATTGTACATACTTCAAAAGGTTCTGGTTCATAATTACTATGATCCAGGATAAAATAAAAGGTTTACTTTCCCTTTTCTCATTAAAATAGTCGTGTTAATATAATCACTCACATGAAAATATAAGTCAATGCTCTATGCAATTTGAAAACCAGACATGAAAAGTGAAAGTCACAATAAAGGATTTTCCTTTCTTTTACCTTTTCAACAGATCTCATTCCTGTTTCAAACGGAACGAGATTCTGTGAAAAGCAATAGCTATGGCTGTTTCTTCACCATAAATTAATCATAACACAAAACTAGAAATGAAAATGTCTCCTAAGAATAATTTCAACTACAAACTGCACCAGTGAATAATAGTGCACAATCCTAATTAAACACAACTCTGCAGCTGCAAAAATAGGCTGAATCTGTCCAAAGCTATGAGTTGGCTTTAAAGGCTGGTTTGTTAGGGACTGTTTTCTTAAGGAAGGCTGGGCCCTCAGTCTTAATCAGCCAATAAATTATTTCCTGCAATTACATTAAATAGAAAATTATCTTCAAATTGGGAATGTTAATTGAAAATCAAAATTCAGACTGAAGTTTAGAAATTACATGCTGAATATAATTAGTCTAGAAAGGCTTCACCTCTATTTCATAAACAGGCTTTTGGTATTTCCTCAAGTGACCATTCAGTAAAGCTATCTACTGGTAACGCACTACAGAGAAAATACTTTTTCTTTGCCATATACGCTAATACACTTTCCTCCTATTTACGATGTTTTAAACAAAATTATGTAAAAATCTCTATTCGTGTTCTGTTGTTTGATTACATAGAGAAAAGGGGTCTCTGTTAACCTTAAAAATAAAATTATATTAACAAAGTCGCATTCACTAATAATCTCAAGCCAGGCCCAGCAACTTTTTTTCTGTACTAGACTAAGAGAATGGACCAAGAGCAGGGTTCAGATGCTTTCTATCTCCACCTACCCCTTTTCTCCACTGCTGCATTATGGTCAGACACATTTTCATACTGCACTTGACTCAGTTACCTATAGTTCTGGCCCCTGAAAAGAAAGACAAGCTCAGGCAGGCCTCCCAGGCACCTGCTTTCCTCATGACATAATTTTGAGAGGTGGGTTTTGCTTTTCTTTACCCCAAACCTTTGTTAAATCGGCAAGATTGAGCACATTAATTATGGTCAGAGGTCAGCACTTAATGGTACCTTTCAGGTTTTTGGTTGCTAGTTTTTAAACATTGGGGTAAAAGGGACAGAGATGTAGGATCCCACTAAATTAAGCCCTTCACCTTCTTTTCCCAGTACAATCATTAACTCAATCAATATACCTCATGTGTACATGTCTTCTGAGGGTGCCAGGTTACGCACCAGATATTGATTATGCCTGGGTTTATAATCAGTAAAAGAGAGTAAATATAAACTCTGCAACTGGGTGTTATCCAGTCAATTACTTCATGCAAGTTTTTGCTCGTTACCTGTTTGGTTTTACTGAAACGGGAGAACTCTGTACACAGAACTCCATCAGGTACAAAGGCAGAGTTCAGCCAATAACTCCAAGGTCTCATCAAATTCAAAGAGAGAAGAATCTGGCCCATTTGAGTAGTTTATGTTTATGATAACATTAAACCATAACAAGGTTGTCGTGTTAAAATGTTTTAATGTCAAAATATGAGTATGAATAGCAGTCAAATTTTAAGCCACAATAACTTCCCAATTTTACATTTAAACTATTCAAAATGCATTTACTAAAATCCCTGGTGAGAGGGGAAAAAAAAAATCAATATTCATAATAAATAAGGCTTGTAAAATGTATCAGAAATTTGCTAATTTCCATTATAATTTATTTTATTTTTTCTCCTATTATCAATTAAATTCACTCGAATGATTTTAAAAAAAGTTTCTGATAAAAAATATCTCCCTAGTTATAACCCCTGCAAACAGGGGTTTATAATGGAAGTGCTGACACAACCCTAACTACAGCAGCGCAAATGGTGCCGCTATAATACACAAAATCAAGTTCTATTATTCTAAACTATCCTCGCTCGGGGGGTTTTCTTTACTGTGCTCCCAGACAAACTGCTGAAGCATGAAAAATTTAAATGCAATCAAGTGGGTCCAATTCTACTTTACTAGAACAAGTGTCTACAGTGGTACAATCTTAAAAGAAGATGCAACAGATTTGTTTGGTGCTTTTCTTTCTTTTTTCTTTTTTAGCTGTTTATTTATAATACTGTGCAGTGGAGATAAAATAAGAGAGGAAATTACACTCACATTATATCAGTATATTGATTACACAGCACACAATCAGAAAGAAAACTACATTGTGAAATTGTTGCTTTGGTTAAATTGACAGATTAGCTGAATACAGCAATCACTAAAGGTAGAAAATATACCTAATGGGCATGAAAAAAAGAGCTGAAAAAGGCTCTAATTATATGGAGTCCTATCACCTACTCAACTTTTAGAATTAAATAAATCTTGATTTGGATTTTCCAAAACTAGAAAAAAATCTATCTCATTTTGAACTCAGAAAACAAATGGGATCGTTTGTCAAAACCTGAATAAAGCTGAGGAATTGGACCCCAATTTCAGTCAGCCTCAATACCAAGGCAGTAAAGCTAAATTGAACTGCTAAGGGGTTTTTACCTACATAAAACTAAACACAGTCCCAAACAGCTCCATTGTCTATATATCTGACATGATTTTTTATTTTATTCCAAAAAAATTTTCTCTGCTCTAATGAAGAATGACATTTAGATTCTCAAAACATCAGCTTTCCTTTTTTCCTACAAACAGTGTGTTATACCTTTCTAAATACAAATAATACTTTTTTTTTCTTTTTATCTTTTTTTTTTTTTTTTTTTTGTCTAAGGATTCTCTATGGTCTTAGATTCTTCAAACAGTGTGTGTCTTCTTTGTCAAAACAATTAGATGATTAAAGTCTTCCAAAGCCTAAAATCTTCCATCCCTTCTGACTACTCAAATGATTAAATGTTATACTGGAAATTATGGCTAGACCTGGAGTTTTAGCTACTAGCTATTTCAGAATCAAGCCTCAAAGTATTGATGCAGATAACAACAATGTGATAGCTCAGACACTATTTCAAAAACATATAAACTAAGCAATAACAATGAGATATATGACAAAGCAGACATATAGTTGGCCAAAGACTCTAGCTTCTGCTCTGCTCCACCCTCACAAAGCATTCATAAACCTAAAGGCATGTCGA